AGCAAACACAACCCATAGGTGATGAACTTGTTCTCATTGCTTGTTGACTCTGGAAGGATCTTCGCTTTCTCTATGTATTCATCAAACTTCTCCTTCAAACTCATTTGGTTGATCTGCGAAACTGATTATGGTTTCGTTTGGATTGACCTATGAAGTGTGAGTGCTGTGTAGAAGAAAAATTATGTGATGGTTATGTTTTAATTATCAGGTGTGAGTTTATTGATAAATCTTATTTTTATTGTTAATTTTATTTTGTACGTAATGGTAATTATGCAATAGGATAATTAAAACATCATATTTAAAATTTAAATTTGATGTAGAAATAGTTTATATGAGTTCAAATAAAATTTTCCAATAAATTTTTGCTACTTTCAGTCGTTCACCCTGATCTCTTTAATGTTGTGCTAGGATAACACAAAACCCGTTGGAACCAACTCAAGCTAACCCACATGAAATTTATCAAATGGAATGCAAAAACAAAATATAAAGGACACCAAGATTTTAACGAGGTTCCTCAACAATCAGTGTAACTAGAGTACATCCTCAGAGCAGTAGGAGCTCACCCAACAATCCACTGTCAACCAAATGAGAGTTTACAAAGTGTTAGCAAGCTCAAAACCCAAAACCCCAATATACCCAATAACTCTCACATACCAAACAAACGAATAGAGAAAGAAATATTATGAATAATTTCTTCTCTATACAAAGCTCAAAGCTATTATAACAACAACTAACTTGATGGGTGATTACTAACCAAAAAGAAGAGTACCTTCTTCTTCTTTTTCTGCTCTCTGCAGCTTCCTTTGCTCTCTCAAAGATGGGCTACTAAAACAGAAAATGGTGCACACTTCCTCTCTCTCACATTCGGATGATAACTTCATCCATACAAAAGCACACAATAAAAAATCAAAAGTAAAGGAATAATCATTGCTTTACAAACATCATCATGACTTTTCTTTCTTTCTTTTGAACAAACATAATTATTTATCTCCTTATAATGATGTTCCCTTTTTTTCATTTTTTATTATGTGCTTTTGGCCATTTGGCCACTAATTCAACATTTAATGCATTATAACCCCCCACAACCATTGACTATCAGAAATCGTACACCAAACCATGAAATGATTTACCATAGCACACTTCTTTGAAATGTACAATATATGCATGGTAAGCCAGGATTTTTAAATGATGAGTCATGATTTTTTGATCAGAAAATTCTTTATTGAACCATTTTTGTTGAGCACTTGGTAGAAACGTATCAAGGCTTATGCCAGTATACATCAACAATTACTATGATATGTAGAGGTTTGTCAAGATTGGCTACAGAAAATTGTTGAGTATTGTTGAAGACTGTCAAGACTTGTTTGTTGCGCACAATAGAGTTGCACACAAGAAGAGATAAAAGGAAGACAGGGAGGATAAAAAAAAAGAGGAGAAGAAGTAGGGGGAGTAGGTTGTAATTTAGTTTCCATAAATGTTTACATGATCAAATACAATATACATACAAATATACATAAGGTTTTTGAATTCTTGAAGTTAAGGACAATCAATGAACTCATGCTGACTCCGCGTGTGCATAATTTTCTTTGGGGTGTGATATCCACACATCATTTTTTACTTCTCCCACACCTTTTGGGTTTTCGACCGTCGGATTGGATGAATTGAAGAAGATCAACGGACAAAAATTAACAAAGGGTGTGTGAGAAGTAAGAAATGGTGTGTGGATAGCACACCCATTTTCTTTCTAATTAAGTGGCACTATTAAATGGCTTTTATTAACAATATCTAGTTGAGAAAAATAAGTGAATGTGACATCATTGCTAACGTACAATGCACCTTGAATTGTCTCTGTTGTTGACTCTTGACTCTATCGCCCAAATATCATAGCTTATGTGAGAAAAGCCAATATTCCCTTAAAATTATGACCTTGTATCTCCACCAAGTCGGTTGATGGCATAATTATAAATACATCTAGGAACCACAACACAAGATAAGAAAAATGGCAGAAGTGAAACTACTAGGAGCCTGGCCTAGTCCCTTTGTTCAAAGGGTTATATGGGCTCTAAAACTCAAGGGTGTAGAGTTTGAAAATGTAGAAGAGGATGTGTTATTCAACAAGAGTGATGAGCTTCTCAAGTACAACCCAGTACATAAGAAGATTCCTGTTTTCGTTCACAATGGAAAACCAGTTGCAGAATCCATTGTCATTCTTGAGTACATTGATGAAGCATGGCCACATAATCCCTTGCTTCCCAAAGACCCTCATCTCAGAGCCGAAGCTCGGTTCTGGGCAAAGTTCGGAGAGGACAAGGTAAATTTTGTGCAGTCTGACTGTTTGACATATTATGTTGTGTTTGAATATGTTATCGAGATTAATGATCGATGATAACATAAAATGACAAGATTGTCTAGAAACATAACCTTTTTATGTGAACGCCAACTGACATATGTTTTGTCCAACCTAGGACCGAGCTTTCCGCGGCTTCTTTTTTGTCACTGGAGAAGAACAAGTTAAGGCTGTCAAAGAATCGCAGGAAAATCTTAAAATCTTGGAAGAGCATGGCCTGGGAAATAAGAAGTTCTTCGGCGGCGAAGAGATTGGATTGGTCGATTTGGCGTTCGGGTGGATAGCTTGCTGGCTGGAAGTCTGGGAGGAAGTAGCTGGGGTTAAAGTGTTTGAAGCTGATCGCTTTCCTCGCTTGCAGGCATGGATTCAAAGGTTCAGGGAGGTTCCCACAATCAAAGAGAACCTTCCTGATCGCACTGCACTGTTGACGTTTTTCAAAAGCCGAAGAGCAATGATTATTGCTTTAGCAAAACCATGAACATCACAATGCTATCATTTCTGTATTTTAATTGTTCAATAATTCCCAGAAAATAAAAGCTCTTGAAGTTCAACTTTTGCATATATTTTCAGCAACTTAGTGGGATGTGTTTATATTTCTGCGGAAACGAAGAGATAAAGTAGCAAACCAAAGAGAGAAGGAAAATGAAGGTGGAAAACAATGCACAAAAGGACGCAGTGGCACAAATGCAAAAAAAATATTAAAAGACGCAGTCGCTTGCTCCCGAACTTTATTTTCTTTTCTTATTTTCTGAAACGGTGAAGAACTTACACGCTATCATTGTACGTGAAGAGAGAGCCAGACATTGCTTTATGAAACATGGATTCGAAAGTTTTTCTCCAACAAACGCTACCAAAAAGTAAGAGGATGGCTAGGTTTCATCCTAAAACGTCATCCAAAGAAGTTAAAAATATACAATTTGAAGACTAAGGAGTAGATTTATATGAAATATTACTTTAAGGTCAAATAAGATGGCATATTATAATTAGTAATCTCCACCTAACCTCCTTTACAGATTGGTTGGAGCCGATGCAAGTTAGAACCGCATCCAACCAGCTAGAGCAAGAAGATAAACACTAGTAAAAAGAATATGGAGGAAGTGAAGGTACTAGGGTTCTTGACAAGTCCAACTGCTTACGGGTTATATGCGCTCTGAATCTCAAGGAAATCAAATATGCATATCTATAAGACAACATTTTTAACAAGAGCGATTTGCTTCTTCGCTTAACCCGGTGCATAAAAAGGTTCCGGTGTTTGCCCAAGGAGGAGAAACTATTGGAGAGTCCATTGTTATTCTCTAGTACATTGAAGGGGCATGGCCGCAGAACCCTCTGCTGCCGAATGATCCTCATGTTGTTGAGAGTTGTCCCACATTGGTGAGGGATAAGGTTTGCTATGTGCTTTTATGGTCTTGGGCTACTCTCCATATTGCCAATTGGTTTTATGGTGAAACCCCAATTTCATCATGGTATCAAAGCAAGGTTGTTCACGTGTGAAGCCCAACGGCCACATGCGCTCCACGTCACTCAGTTGTTGTCCACGTGTAGGCTTGAAAATCCGCCACAAGTGTGGGGACGTGTTGAGAGTTGTCCCATATCGGTGAGGGACAATGTTTTCTTTGTGCTTATATGGTCTTGGGCTACTCCCCATATTACCAATTGGTTTTATGGTGGAACCTCAATTTCATCGTAGTATCAAAGCAGATTGTCCTCGTGTGAAGCCTCAATTTCATCGTAGTATTAGAGCGGATTGTCCTCGTGTGAAGCCAAACGGCCACACGCTCTTTACGTCACCCAGTTGTTGTCTACGTGTAGGCTTGAAAATCCACCAAAAGTGCGGGGGCGTGTTGAGAGTTGTCCCACATCGTGAAAATCCACCAAAAGTGCGAGGGCGTGTTGAGAGTTGTCGAGTTGTCCCACATCGTGAAAATCCACCAAAATTGCGGGGGCGTGTTGAGAGTTGTCCCACATTGGTGAGGGACAAGGTTTTCTATGTGCTTATATGGTCTTGGGCTACTCTCCATATTACCAATTGGTTTTACGGTGGAATCCCAATTTCATCACATGCAAGGGCCGTGGCTCAGTTTTGGACAAAGTTTGGAGATGACAAGGTAATCCTACCTCCCTAACTCTAACCTCGTTGGACATAACTTGGATGAACTAATAACAAGCTGTTTTCTTGCCTAGAGATTCTCAGACTGATATACTATGATGGCTTCACTGACTAGTTTTCTTTTGAGTAATTCAGAAGGCAAACTTTTTGGATTTCTACAAAGGCGCTGGAGAAGAGCAAGCAAGAGCAGCTAAAGATGCCCAAGAACATCTGAGAATCTTAGAAGAGCGTGGCCTTGGTGAGAAGAAGTTTTTTATTTTTTATTTTTTGTTAACGGAAATGAGATAGGAATGATGGACTTATCTTTTGGATGGATAGCATTCTGGCTTGAGGCCAAGGAAGAAGCAGCTGGTGTTCAAGTGCTGGAAGTCGATAGCGTCCCACTTGGAGGCATAGATTAAAAATTTCAAGGAAGTTCCTGTGATAATAGAAAATCATCCTGATCCAAGTCATCTGTTAGCCTATTTTAAACGCCTAAGAGAGATGTACACGAAGCCAGCAACATGTTGACATCCAAGTCTTAAAATTTTGAAGCACAGCATGTGAACCAAACACGAATAAAGGTTAAAAATTAAGGAGTTGTATCGGATATAAAAATAAAAAATACAAAAAGCAATAGCTTCTCAGTTCCAAACGTCAATAGTTTCAACCACATCTGTGTACCTTTGAAACTCTGCATAAGCTTCATAAACCCTTCATTAACTGTCAAATCATAAAGGTTTTATGAAAATGAATTAACACTCACAATATATTTTTCTCTGATCAGTGAAATTTGTAGAGGTAGAAATCGTGCTTCTGTTCTTTCAAATAATCAGAGATTGCAAGGAGATCCGGCTTTGTGAGTGAATGCATGCTGGGTTGTGGGGCTTAGCTTTGTGTATTTTTAGCACTCGCTTCTGAGAGCAAAGTTTCAAGTTCACCTTTTCGGTATAACTTCACAGTATCTGCATATCAGAAGTATGAGCAACATTAGACATTAATATATTTTCCCTTTGTTCAACTTTGTTCTCTTTTAAGGTTTTCACTTTGTCACGGGAGATTTAATAACTAGCCAGCACGGCCAACACGAAGATAAACAGCTGTTGACTCAAAAAGTGGAATTCTTTACTCTACATATTTGCCTGTGTTTTTACTTTCTTATCACATTGGTCTTCTATGTTTTTAAGAGTCTATGATCACGTACTGTCACATGGAATTCAACCCTAAACTTCCCACTTACTTTTAAACTAAAAAAATTATAAATTATTTTGCTAAAGACCAGTGCCATGAAAGACGAAACGTTCATGTAGGAAGGAGTATTATACCTGTACAACCCCCAATGTGTTTCCCACCTGCATGGAAAGGAAAAGAAGTGTGAGCTTTTATTATAATAAAACACCCAATAAGATCAATAATAGAAATTGCAATATGACAAACTTATAATGTGTTCGAGCACATTAGTTGGTAATATTTTTCTTCAGATAATGTCTATCACTGAATGAAGCCACTGTTGAGAAATTATGCCGAGGAAGGAATAACCATGAAGTCAAAATCTAACAAACAAAATTTTCTTTTCTAATAGCAGTTTACTAAATTGCCTGAACTTGAAAATGTTAACCATTTTGAGATTTACATTTAAAGCTTCTGAAGATATAAACTGTTAGTTGTCTGACTTACGCCTTTACACTGTTGACCATTAACAGGGGCACAAATTTACAAGCATCGACTCTAGGCATCTCCAAACTGTTAAAAGAACCTAAGGAGTTTCATTTCTATTCTGGCAATTGCTCAGAAACAACAAAAGAGTGAAAAAGAGAGTTTGAGGAGGTTTTATTAGTCTTTACTTACTTTTGTTTGTAGCCTTGGAGGATGAGATTAGTGTTTCAAAAGAGAACAACGAAGGGAATACAACCTTGAAATTGAATTTGGAGAAAAGAATGTCAAAAAAGAAGATTGAGTGTTTGAGAAAAGAATGGAAACAGGATTCAGTAATTCACGTTTTGGTTAACATTCAAACTTTAAATAGAAATAAAAAAGCCTACCCCAAACTACAAACGGATAACATCCACAAGACTATACTTCTAGGTTTGTCAGGGAAGATAAACAATTTGTTCATCAAAGATTACATTCTTCATCAACAATGGGGGATTCCCACATTTTTTTAATTTACCGTTGCACTTATTAAATGACAAACTAATGAACTACAATGTATAATAAGTATTAAGGACAACTTAACTTGTACAAAATTGCAATAAACATCATGTCGAGATACTATATAAAAGAAATATTTGTTTTAAGCTACCCAGAGCTGCAGCCTAGAGTAGCCTAAACAGGGATCCGCCCTTGGATCCATCATATGAATATCGATGTGGGTGGGAGATCAGGTTGTCAATTGAGCAGAACATAACATGTTTGAGATGTTTTAGGTTATACAGAGCTGCTTACCGATAAAAACATTAGGGACGGTATGTTGTCCTGTAAGCCTCTCCAATACCTTTTGCAGCTGTGGTCCTTGGGGACCTGTAGAAGAGAAATAGCATTCAAATTCAGCGATGGAATCAAACAATGACTCTTCGACAAAAACCACTACAGGAAAGCAATAAGGTAAGATCAAAGCGGATGTATGAGGAGCAGTAGCGAATGGTTTCCCGGGTTTAAGATTGGAGGTCATTTTTGATTTCAATCACCACCGGGGCAGCAAGCTCCCACGCTTCTCAGTAAACTTCTAGCCGTACCCTGTCCACCAACCTGCACTCTTCGGGGTCTGTCATAGCACGATTCTTCTCGGAGGAGGGTTGGTTTGCCCGGGTGACTGATCCTGCCATAATGTACTCCTACCTATAGCACAGGCAACCGAAGTCAAGCATATATACGACAATCTTCATGCGTGAATAGCCGGGAGGAAAGAAAGGGCGGTAGATGATAATGATAAGAGGTGTCGCGTCTGGACCCTGCTCCTACCCACCGGGGGGCACTATAGCATGTCGGGAATAAGGGGGGCCATACCGCTTCCTTGGTTGGGGGCTGTGCCACCCTGCCTTTCGATCGATACACAGTTGAGTAGGCCGATCACGAACGCTACGGGTGCGGGAATTTTGTGTATAAAAGCACACTTATTTTCTTGATTCCAGAAACATTATTTTCGATCATCCTGAAATCCCTAGAAATGTGAGGACATTCCCGGAACCTTTCTGTTTCGAAAGGTGAATAGAGCTTGACAAGTTGCTCTTGAAACTATCCACTATTCACACATTGTATACATAATCAGCTGGCCTACCATTAAATTTACATTCCAACTATGCTACCACATTGTCAAGCACAGAAAACTGAAGCTCTATTAACAATTTACATTAAATCTACGGACTCAACTGCAAACTCAAGCATTGCCATGTAATGGATAGTAAAAAATTCATACCCAGTTCATCCAATTCAATCACGATCGGCTCCACACCAAGCCTTTTGAATAACGATTTCACCTCAGAAGAGTACCTTCAAACACAATTTCCAGAAAAAACCCAATTCAAATTTCTCAAAAAGAAACCAAATTTACAGCAAAAACAACACCCAAATTGCAAATTTACGAAATTTAATAGCAAAGGAGATTTGATAAGATGCACTCACGAACACCAAGTTTTGGAATAGACGACAACAGGGTTCTCATCCACCGTCCTCTTAACGCTCTCTTCGAGCCGGGAACCGAAGGAGGAGGAAGCCATGGCCTGAACCGACATGGGTCTCCATCGTCTCGAGCCGCCATGGACGCTGGAAAGGTTGGTGCTCGAGCTACCTCCCGGACTGTAACTGTTGTTGAAGGGAACACAGCAAATGGATGACTTGTTTACAGACGAAAGAATGCGAGGGGAATTTAGAGAAATGGATGCGAAATTGGTGAGATTATATGAGACTGCCATTGCTGTTGTTGCGGTCTCTCTCTCTCTTTGTCTGTGGCTTCCGGCTTTCTTGGAGCTTTTTGCTTGGCTTTTTGGCCTATCTCACTTCGCTTGCTTCCTCCGCCTTCCTTTGTGTTCTTTTACTGGTTTGGGATTTTGACTGTTAGATTCAGGTTCTTTGTGATTCATTGACGGATGAAAAGTGAAAACAGAAACTGGGTTTTTTTCGCTGCCATTGGTTTGAGGCTTTTGGCAGTTGGACTGAGGAGAACACAAGCCACAGAGGCAAAAGCATTAACCTGCAAAAAGCTATGGACTTGTGGGGCTTCAGACTTTTGTACAAGGGCCATCGTAGGCAGCCTGTATTTTGCTTTGGGCCTCGATCTCCTTTCTCGTTTTCTTTTCGATTTTGATAGGATTTAACTCATTTTTTCTACCAAAAATAAGCGCTTGGGTAATTATGGAGAATAGTTCAGCTATGGAACAGATGTCCGTTCTTAGATAAAAGGATGAAGAATCACTGATATTTCTTCGATAACCAAAGGGTTCGTAGCTCAGTGGTAGAGCACTTGATTGCAGATCAAGGAGACATTTTGTTAATATCTTGCCAACAATATATCCAAACATGTTATTCATACATTTTTTGCATGTTCGCTTTTTAATAAATAAAGAGTAATGTTATTCATACCATGTTTTTATACCACCTTAAGTGATATCTGATGTGGACAACCACATTATTTGAAAATTTTGCAAAATTCAAGAAAATGAAGGAGAAAAACTCATCGTATACCATAATCAAACCAAAGCATGAGAAATAATGATACAAAACATTTATGAATTGTGTCTCTATGTCAGGCAAGGCTGGCTGCATAGTCAGAGACTCAGTGCTGGCTGGTTTCAGGTTTAGGGTTGCAACACACGTCTCTTCATCGCATGTGTAGTTAATTTGTGTGCATGGTCCATAAGGGAATGGCACAACCTTAATTAAGGAAATTGGCAGTTTATGCCCCACGAACAAAGGATGGGCTGCCATCTCAGGGTTGCAACCTGAGCTGAAGGTGTTTTTTGTTGACCTGCATCGTTTAATATACATGTTTCGAAATGTTGGATTTTGATCTCGATAAGTATATATACTTACCAAAAGGAAGTTATTATTTGTCATGAGTGAGTATAAGCTAGGATTCTCCATTAATAATATCAAGAGTAAGTTGGATATAATCAGAATAGTTCAAGGGATAACGTCGATGAAAACAGTTAATAAAAAGTAATAAAGTAATCAAAATCAAGGTACTGGAAATTTTATTTGGGTTATCTGATTGTTTCTGTAGAATCATAAGTTTGGAACCTTTTGAAGGATGATTCGTGTGCAAGTGTTGAAGAATATAAAATACCATGTTCGAAACTTGAAAAAAGAAAGGGATATTTTGGATATGGTCCTTAATCCTTAACATTTTTAATTAAAACCTTAATAGTATTCAAAGTTTGATCAAGGTCCCTTGACTTTGTACACCTCATTATATTACTACTAATATTTATTTATTTTTTTTATAGTTTTGACATTAATTTTTGATATTTTATGAGATTTATAATCCTATAAATTTAAAATCTCTCATTATAATACTATTAGAAACGGTTACAATAAAAAAATTCAAACATTTTGATTGAATAAATGGATAAAAACTATGTAAAAATAAGAAATAATAAATGGCAAAAGAATGTATCCATAGTGTTAAAAAAATTGGTACATTTTACAAAAAAATTGGTACATTTCACATATAACAAAGTGGTACATTAATAAAGAAGAATGGATACATTATAAATAAATTAGGGTACAAATAAAAGATTAAAACTTATGAATACAAATGAATTTTTAAAAATATAGGCGCTAAAAGAAATTAATACATGGGTACAAAATAAAACTAAAAAGAAAATACTGCAAATTTAAAAAAAAATGTAGCAAATTAAAAGTGGGCACAAACTAAAAATATAAATATATGATACAAAGTTTAGGCATAAAACATAAATATACCATATGTAATATTTCTATCATTGATTAAATATACAATGTCACATGAGGGTATACACATGGGTACAAACACAAAAAAACTTTTAAAAATATGGGCACAAAAAGAAACTAATATATGGGTACAAATTAAAAATGAAAAGAAAATTGGTACAAATTAAAAAATATTTGCAAATTAAAAATAGGTACAAACTAAAAATAAAAATATATGATAAAAAATTTAGCCATAAATATAAATACACTAATTGTAACATTTTTAACATTAAAGGAATATATTTTAAAATAAAAATATTTTAATGATGTTATTAATACCCAAGGACCTTGATCAAAAATTGAAAATGAATAGGATTTTAATCAATAGAGTAATAAAAAGAAGGATATGAACCTAATTTTCCCAAAAAGAAAATACAATGTACAAGTGGTTCGATAGTTAATAACGCTAGGGTTTTTGTGATTAAACACTAGACTTTTGATATTGAAATATTTAAGTTGGAAACAATGTCGAGTTCATACAATTAAGTGGAAAAACCAGAAAAGAAAACATAAGATATGTGAATGACATTTAAAGAGAATAACCATGTGACAACCTCTTTTAAATTATACCCATACTAAAAGCCGGTGGGAAAACCACTGTTTATTAACAATGCCGTTCCGGTTTTGCCCTTAATCTAATGCACGGTTTTCAGCCTTTTAAAAGATGCTACATGAATTGGCGATTTTGCCCCTCGATGGAGTGCCCACATACGGAAAGGTGTTCAAACCCTCTCTCATTTTCTTTCGTTGCATTTCTCTTTCGCCTGCTCTCTGTTTCTCTGCTTTTCTCCCTGTTCGATCTTTGTGTTTCCTTGCTTATCTGTTTATGTTGATCGTCTGCCATCTGAAAAAGGTGGTTTTTGTGACTGATTGCGGTGTTTCAGGTGGTTTATCTATTTTATTCTTTTTCTCTTTTCCTTGATTAGGAAGAAATTTTGTAGATCGATTGGTGTAAAATTAAAATCTTTGCATTTTTAATTAGTTCTTTCCTAATTTTTTTTCTTCGTGTTTTTAGCATCGTTGTTTAATCTGATTGCATTTTTTGTTTCAAGAAATACTAGTCTATCAATTTTAGGGTTTCTTTGTGCAATCTTGGAAACCTTTTTCGATTAAGATGTGTGGGTTTTTTATTTGGAATGTTTTCTGCTTTTTTTCCGGCATATGTATCTGGTTGTTCCATCTAATTGCATTTTTCATCTTGGGAAATTTTGGTCTTTTAGGTTAGGGTTGTGAAAACTCTTCCCTAGTTCTACGATTTTATAAATTTTAAAAGAATGAATTTACGAAAATATTCTAAGGGTGAAGGTTTTGACTTTCATTGATCAACGTATAGAGAAACATATGATTTATTCACTTAGAGCATTTGTGTAGTACTCATTGGTACGAATGCATAGGCGAAAGCCGTTTCCGAGTTCGGATTATATCGGTATAGTTATAGACATTTGAAATTGATTATTTAAAGTTTAGTTATAGATTAATTCAAACTCTCACCATGTGGGAGTGGTAACCGATCAATTTTAAGAGAGGAAAAGGAGAACCAATCAGGAAGGGAGAAGGGGAAAAAAAAACGAAACCTTCCCGTCGGGCAGTGCACCCACACACCCAAACCAGTCAAAATCCGGCCAATTTCCCAAAAACGCGAAGAACATCACCGGAGCACCAAAGGTGTTTGACGGTGATTCCTTCAATCTGGCGAGTTTGACCACCCACCACCACCCTTAATCAACTCCTCTTGGACCCAGGATCAAGACCCAATCAGTTGTAGAGGTGTTGTAACATCGAGGAAGTCGAATCGAAGAACACCTATCTTAGGGTTTCCAGCGGGTTTGAGTGAAATTGGAGCCTTTCCCGGCTAAATTGGACTTAGCCACAGGTATCAAACTTGTTCTACTCATTGAGATCTTCATTTCTATAAAATTTGGTACATTTTAGAAATAATTGGATTTTCTTGCGAGTTGGGACGGCAGAACAGCCACCCACGACGGCGCGTGCAGCAGCGCGTGGCCAGGGGGCCGTCGATGTCATTCTTAGGCTAAATTAGATGCCTGAGTTCAGTCTTGGTAACTGTATGACTTAGGTTGATGGTTGGAACCTAAATTCTCTACGTCACGTTATTTGGTAAAAGTGTAAATCGACGATCCGACCGTTGGAGCGTCACCAAACTTTAATACATTATAGTACGTAATATTTGAGAACCATAGAAACTTACAGATCGGGAAGCCGCCTTACGGATCTTCCCGAATTGGATTTGTAAGTTCATAAAATAAAATGTTGACCGCCACTTGATTTTGGCAATTGGCGGAGATCCGACCGTTGGATCATAATGCAATATTAACGTGGTTCTAGGAACATAATGTAAATTTTTGGAAGTAACGGATCGGAAATCCGTGTTGCAGATCTTTCGGAGTGAATTACGTAAGGATGTGTTTTTCTGTAAATTATGTATTCTATCGGTAAGAACTCTGAAACGTGATTTGATAATTGTTCTAGGCGACACTGGTTCGTGACGTCTCGATATTCATTCTAGGGAGTCGTAGCGCGGACCTTAGGTGAGTGGGTCTTTTCTCTATCGTTTATATTATATATATATATATATATATATATATATATATATATAATTGATAATTCCACAAACATTTTTTAAATCGATTTATGCATATTACCTACATATAATTATTGTGAGAATAAACATTCTTACTATTGTTGATCTTTGTGGTTTCCACTTAGCGTGGAAGACAAGTAAAAAGTGACATTCTCATTGAAAACTTATCTGCAAAATAAATTTTGCTCTATTGTTGCATGGTGCATTGCTGCATAGTTTCACAACTGCATTATAAGAAATAAGAATGTACTTATCTTATTACTTTGTTAATTTTTAATTTTTTTTAAATTCTATTTATTATTTGTTTTATATTTTCTTTCTTGCCATTTGTTGCTGAACTAAATTCTATTGTTCATTGTAATAATTGTTTAAGGTGAGCAATTTTAAATTTTGAATTATTTAGTTTTATTTTATTTTTTTAATTTTTTTTTAAATTTTTTTTTTTACTTTTATTTTCCAGTCGCATTTTAAAGTTTGAGAGATCTATTCTTTTTAATCATTATATTATATATGGTATACATTTGTTTAATCTTCGCATTATATGTTTGTTGATAC